CTTCAATGTGTTACTTGGTGAGATATTTTCTTTTTTCGAGTTTAAAAATTGCTTTGTGTCACAACAAAAATCGCAATTGCTTTGCTGCATTTCATTTATAAATAATGTGAAAATTCCTATATTAATAGATAATATAAATACATGACCATTTGTTTACGTCTACAATAATTTTAGTAATAAACGCACATTGTTGCCAAAAGTCTACATATTTTTATTTATTTTTTACGTAACCTATGACTACATTCCTATAAAAAACGATTTTTTAAAATTCAAAACAAAAAATCATGCATTTAAGGGTTAAATTTACGTACACTATACAGTCTCAATCAAATTTTCATTTCATCCGTATGCCAAAATAAACTGACAATATTGACGTGCTCTGGCGAATTGTGTAATGCACATTATTGACTTTTCCTGTGCATAACAGTCCTCAAACGCTCCGCAATTTTGGCTACTAAAGGCAATTAAAATCTTAACCCCATCTTTAAATATATTCGAAATCATTATTTCGGTTTCCTTTATTCCATTTACCTACGATATCATTATTTTTATATTGCATTAATTGGAGTTTCTCCAAGACTCGAACGATCTAAACAGCCAAAAAAGAGAGGTGTATTCGGTGAACCAATTCGAAATCAGCGTAGTCACAAAAGTGAGCCTTTCCTAAAATCACGTACACTCGGTCAGATTAACCGGTCGAAATTTGATATTCCACGTACGACAAGCGAACTATCGATATCGAACTTCTCCGAAGAATCTCGGCCGAAAAGCTGTTGCCCGATAGAGACGAGACAACCAGGACCTAATCAGCGAGCGAACTCGAAACAAATCGGCATTCCCGGTCCCGGCAAGAGAAAGGGAGAATGAGAAGGAGACGAAGAGAGCGAACGGGATTCTCGTTGGAGATGTAAATGAAAATCGGCAAGCTCGGGGAGGGTCGTTCGGATCGAGAAAACGCGGAATGCGCCCGATGAAAACTCGGGATTCCGCGGATCGTTAAAGACGGCCGGGCAGGAACTTTGCGAAACCGGTTCCATGGAGGCAGGCCGTCCGAAACTTATCCTATTACGAGTTTCTCGGCAAGAGAGTACGGTCTCGGTCGGGTAACCGGGTGCTCCTGCAAGCCATCGGCAATCTTCGGAGAGTGGGAGAACGGCAGAGCGAGAGAGCACGTCGAATTAACACCGGGCGACGCAAACTCCGGCGATAACCTGTGCTTCCACCCCCGAGACGGAACACGAAGGACGCGCCCTCAAAGCAAGACTCGGGCACGAGTGACCCCCCGCACCGTCCCGCAACCTCTTGCAACATCCCTACGAGAACCGATCCGCTTGTCAAGGTTTTGGTCGGGAGGAATTCCGCCGCGTGATCAGCTTCGGCCCTTGCGAAATGTCCGACTGAATCCGCAGCTAATAAACACCAGGTTCCGATAATCCCTGGTTCACAAAATCGGTGACCGAAAGGTGGAACTTTGTGTAAATCGTGGGCATAAGACGAGGGAAAATTATGATAATAATAATAGTAACAGTTTATTGATGCCAGCGGGAAAAAAATTCCTCCGTTATACGTATAGTGCACAGTAGAAAATAAGACAGAGAAATAAATAAATAAGTAAAAACAAAACGAAAGAAATATTGTAATATGATGTATGATATGCTGCGACAATTTTCATGCTGCAGTGAGAGCGGAGCCGTTAATTGGAGCAGAGGAATTATTGGCAAAATCAGAAGTGTTGCAAAAACGGTTACAACAATCGGTTTAGGTATTTAAATTGTCCGCGAAGGGTGAGATACATATTGGAAGAGGATATGATTTCTCGTGTGACGTACAGGGGCGTGGAATTTAAAAAGGTACAGAGTATTGTGGCAAGAAATGATGTCACTGATAATCTTCTGTGCAGATATAAGATCAGCAAAGATACGACGTTGTTCGTGAGTCATCGACCAAAGCCGCAACATTTAATAAAATTATTAATAATAACAGTGTTTATTATGTCAATGGATACAGAGATAGAAAAGTAATACAGTAAACTCTCCCAAATTTTCCCTCGGCTTGTAAACAAAAATGAACAATTTGGGATGAGGAGATACGATTATTCGAGCTTCTCCGCTTGTTTTTATAGGACAATTTGAAAGAATTTACTGATAACAAGATAGCAATGCGCGGAAATAATATTAAACAATCGGTACTAATATGAGAATTAGATAATAAAGATAGTAGTAATATGAGTAACATTAAAAATAATAATAAAAATATTAGGAGTAATGAGTCCGTAACAATAGCAGCAACAACAATAACAATAATTCTAATAATAAAAACAATAACAATAATAACAGTAATAACAGTAATAACGATAATAACAATAATAACAATAAAATCAAGAATTAAGAATGCTTGTAAGCGATAGTGATGGTACAGTGTTTAAATGAAGTAAAAGAATTAAAAAAGAAGTTGAGAGATTAGCAGTAACAATTGGAATTAATGAATAAGCGAATTAAACAGTTATAATGACCAAATACATATGTACATAGTGTGCGATGTGCTTCCGTGAGAAAAGGAGTAGAAATATTTCCACGAAATTTTCTTGATTGCAATTCCATCGTGAAGATTATAGTTAGCGTTCATAAGTTCCAGACGCGCGTTCACCAACAAGAATTTAATGACATTGGAATATATTGCTCTAGAGGCTACTAAAGTAGCAAGGTTTAACATTGCGATTAATAACAACGTGGAAGCTGAATTTTTTCTCGAAACAAAAATTAATTCAAACATCCGTTCGGTTATTTCCTGGGAGGGCAATTTTACCAGTAGGTGATTAATCAGACTGGCATAAATTAGCACGATACAGCTTGTAAATAAACGTACAATGTGCCCTATTGTGTTCATTAAAGTGCAATTTAACGCTGAAAGATGTGCTCGACGATAACGTACCTTCTTATCGACGATAAATCTTATCGAGGTAATTGTGCGTAGATCGTATGTACCGGTAAATCAGGTACCTAAATTAGTGGTTTCAGAACCGAGAATCTACCGTGCTGGTCAGCTATTCCTCTATCGACTAGAAACTGATAAGTGAAGTGCGCATTCCATTCCACTTGTGACAGACACTACCGTCTCATCGGTACGCCTAACAATCTCCGGAATTTTCGTTTTCAGCTAATGAAGATTATTATATATATGCAAACTGTTTGAGTCCAACCCTTTAAAAAATCATGCACAAGAATTTATATTTATAGTTAATTATTTTATAATAATAGATATCAAACATTGTATTTTATAATTATCGAGACGTGAATAATCTTTTGTTCGATTTTCACACATATTTATATTTAATTATTTTGATGTGGCAGACATCAAACATTTCATTTTACAATTATCGGGACACGGAAAATCTTTTGTTTTAAATATCGAACAAGTTCATTCGTTCCATTCACATTTGCAATGTAAAAGATAAAACGCTTTTTGATGCTTCAACAATATCATTGTGACAATAATTTTATATTTATTCAAATATGGTTCATAATGCGGTAAGGAATTAACGTGAATGAGTATTACACTGATAAATGGACCGTTTATTTTGAAAGTGGTGCAAGTCCACTTTCTTTCGTTTCGAGAAAATTGAATGTTAGCAGATCTGACAATTAAAAAATATAGGTTAATTATGTAAAGTCTGGGTATGTTTGTACTAATTTATCAATATGTAATTTGATTATATAAATTTCTTTTAGGCGAATTTAACTAAAATAATATACAATTTCCAGGCTGCAAATGGACTTACACCACTTTCATAATTAGTCAATTGTAAATATCATTTAATTTCAATTTTGAAATAACAAATATCACTTTCTTTTTTTGCTGAAATGAATTTTCCTTTTTTTGTAAAGTACTCTTGTCCGGCATTTCGCTTAATTTTGTTTATTCGTTGCGTATATTTTCCTTTATTTTCTTTTACAGAATCCAAGTTCTCAGTAACAATATCCTCATCTGATGAAAATTCTATCTCTATAATTCTTCTTCTCTTTTTACGCTTCATTAATTTATTTTTCATAGTAGAATTATCTTCATCCTCCGATTCTAAGATTATTCTTTTGTTTATATTCATGGGTCTTATTTCCGTGTAAATTTATTTAAAATAAAATAAAATAACTATTTTCAATTGTCATAAAATAACATTGATTTACTATTTCTTCTTACCTATATCACTATCTGATGTGAATATGAAATTATCCATTGTTGGAGGAAAATAAAATAAGTAACCTAAAATAGTAACTTTGGGCACGAAAATAAAATAATATAAATAGCAAATAAAGCAATTGTGGCCACTAACCCCGCCACCTGTCTATGGAAATTGGACTTACACCACTTTCATAATCAATGGTTACGCAATTTCTTTTACCGGTCAATTTTAAATTGAACAAAGCATTGGCATTTTTTAAGATATTAACTACTAACTAGTTATAAACAAAAAGTTTACACTAAATAAAGCATAAATTACGTCATATCTCATTTTTTTTTAAAAAAGGACTTACACCACTTTCAAAATAAACGGTCCAAATTATTACTTGAACAAGAAAGTACCGAAATTGTATTCATCGCTTCTTCGATAAATAATTACTAGGTCACGATATGCAGAGTTTAATAAAGTTATAAATTAACGAACTCTAGTAGTATTTTTATTTTCTTTGTACAATGAGAAATCTTTTAGTTATCGAAGAGAACATCTTTTTAATTCCAATTTTCGTCGAATGACATTCGAGAATGAGAATTTGCATAAAGTCTGACAATTATGTAAATCTTATTAAAGTTTTTCGTTGAGGATAAGATCGAAACAAGGTCAACTTCCACCCTCGATTCAGCATCGAATAATTATTATGTACCCTGATAACAGAAAAAAAATTAATCGAGTGCGACGTTAGAAACGAGCCAGAAAATTCGTTTCCACCGAATTGACGCCACTTCCCGAGGGAGCCAGTCGCTGATCCTGCTGTTTGTTGTTGCAGAAAAATCGCTCTAGTCATTATCCTCACCAGAGCCGGCCTGGATTTGGATCCGAATGCCCTGAAGAGCTTGAAAGTCACCGTACCGAAACTCGGTCTAATTCCATGGGTCGTCGAGGCGGTTGTGGTAGCCACGCTGACAAAATATCTGCTTGGATTGCCCTGGATATGGGGTTTCCTCCTCGGCAGCGTAATAGCTGCCGTTTCACCGGCTGTCGTGGTGCCCTGTCTCTTCAGGTTGCGCAGCAAGGGTTACGGAGTCGCCAAGGTAAGATTAGACGATTTTAATGCGAAGGACGCATCGTGTATCTCTGTCAAATTTCATTCGCGAAACATAGTCCACCGAAAATTAAAATACGATGTGCTGAATTAGTAATCGGAATTCTAATCGAGACAATGGTTGAAATGATGCTGTTTCTCGGTATTAATATTTTGCAGTTTACGTAACAATAAGTACGTAACAGATAAATAAATTCATCAATTCACACGGTGTTTCTTAGCACTAAAAGTAACCAATATCTGCCATCTTATATAAGTAAGATATTATAAAGGGATTATAAAGAATTTACCTCGATTTCTTGCAATTTTCATAAGAATATTTGCTCGAATGAAAAGATTTATTCTTACGTAAACCGATCGTTTGACCGACAATGGTACGTTTAATGTTAAAGTCGTAACTGGATTGCGGATTTTATGCGTTTATGACACAAATAGACAGATCAAATACAAAACTGTAAAGTCAAATCGAAGAATTTCTGCATACTGCCGCTTATTACAATTATTAAAAGAGGAAAGACATTTTTATCTAATTTACGATTCTTGCAATTAACTTTTTAACAATTTTCATTTTGCACAAAGATTCGCAGTCTAGTCTTAACACGCAGTACAAAGTTCGTGGAACCTAGAACTTCGTTTCGCTAAATCGTTTTAATATTTCGTATTCGAGATAAATTGCATTTATTTATTTAAGCAATGAAGATAAATAACGAACGAAATGACGATCGCGAAGGTGTTAAGCAAATTAGAAATGTAAACTGTAGCTTGTCCGATGAGACGAGTCAGCAAGTGCAAACAAGCAGGCGATGATTACGACGTGTACATTTAAAAAAACATTAATCTTTCTCACTGCTAGGAAACGATCCAGAGCCCAACATTTATCAGCCAATAGCTGCAAGCGCCAGTATCGATTATGCGAATATTAGGCAGCTTATCGAATATTAGTTTTGTTTGCATTTACTGACACGTCTCGTTGAACAGGCTCTAGCGTTAGCCGTTTGTCAATCTGATTTTGTACAAACGTGTTTCCCAATATTGAAAATGATGTTCTGCATCTTGTGAAGGTCATAGATTGCACCAGTGCAGTATTTTTTTATTTCTGTTAACAAGACACGAGTTTAGATTGATATTGATACGCTGTCTGGGTGATTTAAATGCATTAAAGTTCATTTGCAAAGTTATTAATCTGTCTTTTTATTAAAAAAACAGCTGTTAGTTTATTTCGAGCATGCTAAGACAAGAACGTAGAATAATTGATGTAAAGAACGAAAGAAAGATAATTAAAAGTAGAATAGAATGTTTCCAATTAGCTTCCACACTGCTCGACAAGATAATACAGTGGTATCTCGATTATCCTGACCTCTGGCGTCAGAGTTCTCTGTTATCCAAATACATTGTACGTGTAATCAGCTCAATCTGAAGCAACCCGTATGCAATACGATCTACTGTATAAATTAATAAAGCTTAAGTCTGGCACTGTAGTTAAATAAATACTCTGTTGCTATTGATGTTTCCACTACAATTGTAACAGTGCGCTGTATCTTCATTTCAAGCAAGTTACAAACTCGAACTTATGACGTTTAATAACGTAATAGTATTTATGTCACTTGATTCCAGGAAACTTCAATTATCAAAGTTCAATTAAATGAAATTAATGCGTTATATTTATTATGATATTGTATATTTGATTTTACATTTGATTATATGTTTCATCTTATGTTGTATTTTATATTTTATTTTATATTTTGTTATTACATACAATTAAATGAAGTTTATGTTTCCTTGAATTAACAAGTGCGTGAAGTAAATGTTGAAAATCCTGGATTATGAAGGAGAACCAACAGAACAAGATATGTTTTTGCAACATTGTGGTTAAACGAGCGTCAGTTGTGCATCAACCTGACTGGAACAGCTGATCTCGCCTCTCATTGATCATTCTTTTTCATTAATAACTCATAAACGAAGCTACGAATTGCATTTGCGCTAAGAAAGAAATTACTTCAAATAGTCTCAGGAACCGGAAGTACCGTAATTTTGGGACACCCCGTATAACCAAATTCTTAAAAATTAAGAAAATATGAAAAAAAAAGAAAATATAATCGAGACAACAGCTATGATACTATGCTATTACGTCAGCTCAATTAAAATAAAATATCGCGAAGACGATTTCCAATTGTCTATCAAACCGACTGAGCATTTAGCCCGCTTTAATTTCGCGGTACTTTCCTGGGATTTCGCCACTGACAATTGACTCCCAAGCAAACGCGAAATTACGGCGACAGAGCAAACCGGCGTTCAAAAGAAATTTAATTAGTGCCGCTCCGCTTCCGGTAAGTTGAACGGCGCCGTGTGTTCCGCGCGTGCCACGCTATGATGAACAGATGCAACTTCGTTGCATTACTTACGAATGCATCCCACCGGAGGAGCGAAAGGATCTCGCTTCGGAAGGACCTAATTCGACACGTGAAATTCACCGTCGGCCGAGTCCCGCTTGCGTCAAACAATCCGTCCGAGTTGTTGCGAGCGCATTCGAACAACTCGGAACAGTGTCTGCCAAATTTTTCGACCCACCAAATCCCTAGAAACGCGCGACTCCTCGAATGTTTCCTAAATTTCATTAATTTTTCGAACGTACGGTTTCTGTCTCCGTTTTGCAGGATAATTTGATAATTTAACTTCGACAAATGGAGGATAGAAGAATTCACTCGAGAAAATAGACGTGGTATTAATTTTTTTCTGAACGTAGTTTTATTATTTTGTATATGAATTTAAGTTGGATATATGCTATGTGTATGTGTTGCAGAATTTTACCGAAGTTTTTCCGAAATTATTGAACGCTGTGCTTCAATATATTAAAATTACTAAAACTTATAATTCTTTG